CGCTGACTTAATTTCCTAAGTTACACAGGGCAGTGCTTTGAGTTACCTCAACTTCACTTTGCAAGCACAATCAAATAATAAGTGTTATTTTGCTGAGATTGAAATGATAAGTTGGGTGAACTATTGTAACCCAAAGAAGAAAAGCAGGTTAGCACAACTGCATGGTGATTGAAGTTGAGAAAACTTAGAAATGCTTTGCAGCTGGTTGCCTTACATTTCTAAGTCTGCTCAAATCTCTCTAAACTTACTTTGTAAGTTTAATGAAATACATAAAGAATTAAATGCAATTAATTACATGTTCATCTTAACAATCACGACAGAGACAATGAATTATTTAACTATTAAATGCAACTTTTAATTTCACTCCCCTTTTTGAACATTGTGTATACACATACACACATTTATTAGCCTTTCTTTAATTTAAATTTAAGTTTAAAGGAATATATAAAGTACAATCTCTTGCAGCACCACACTCCACCTTAAAAGATCACTGCAGACACACACACTTCAGCAAAGCACCACAAGAAGGATGTGTGCCCTAATTATTAGGCTAACATATATACTAAACATGCCTGATTACATATGAACAGAACTTTTATGTCAGAAAAACATTACATCTTTGAACATGTCACAAAAAAGAATTCCTCTCACACTGGGCATATACAAGAACTTTTTGCATTTACCCGGGTTACCTGTCTTTACTAGGCCTACATCCATATCACGGATGGTCCAAACCTCCTCAGCACTTCCCTTTCCATCTCCTGCCAACATTCCTCTGCACTTTATTTCCCTTCACACTGCCATCCTATCATGCTCCACAGCCACAAACCTCTTAAATCTCCTACACTCTCTGCACTCCACTGACTCTCACCAACTCACCTTCAGTAGCAGCCTGCACTCCATCACACTACATCAGTGCCCAGACTGTCTGCTTTGCTCATCCCATAATTTCTTAGCCACTGTTAAGTGGGGCTCCTCGTCTGGTATGTTGTACCATCCTCCCACTATTCCTGTTTTCCACATCTGAATGGCTTCTCCCTCAGGGCCTAATATTGTCCCATCTGCCGTCATACGTATCCTTTCTTTCTCTCGGCCAGGTAGCGAATCTATCAGCTGATCCCACTCATCCTTCATTCCAAGATCACTGAAATCTCTCCATCGCAACAAACAAGTATGTTTGTCCTGTGTCCAGTTCAGCCTATTCCTATATTGTTCCTGTATAAATGGGCCCCACTGTTCTAGAGAATAAGGGGAAGCTATACTATCCCTGCTGCACAACAGATTTTGTCGCAGAAGGCTGTACTGTCCACTGAGCACCTCTACGCCCCCTTCTGTACATTTTATGTCTATCTGCAGCTGACACAAAGCATCTCTGAGTATGTGCATGAAAACTACTCCCCTTGAAAATTACAGCCTTGACAGAGAACCATGTTACACAGGGTATGGGAAAGACAGAAGCACTTTTATTAGACTACAGAGTTTTCCATAACAGCAGTATTAATACAACTTGCATTACTACAGTGATACCTTGGAACACAAACTTAATTTATTCCAGAAGGCTGGTCGAGTTCCGATTTGGTTGAGGTCCAAGTTAAATAGTTAAGAAATAATGAAAATGAATTTAATCTGTTCCAGACCTCCAAATGATTGCCTATTTAAACATATCTACCTAACTAACAAATGATAAAAACATTAACAATCAATATAAAACTAATACCCACATGAAAAAGCACACACACAAAAGCAATAAACATGAAATAAATGACAATCCCTCACTTCAAAGTGAGAGCAGACACACGTGCACCACCTTCAAGTCTTGCTATAATTTCCATTTTAAGTTCTACAGTTACTCTCAGTACTTTCCTCTTTCGTTTGCTGCTATCACTTGTCATTTTGTTAGGGGCCATGATTACTGTATCACTAAATGTACTGTAGATAAATCACAAAATAATCACACTGAACACAGCAGCACAGCTTTCGCACGTCAAACTCGGCCGAGAGGAATGACGAGACTGAGATTCACAGGAATCAGCATCCCAGTAGGTCCGTCTGCCTTTATTTAGCCCATCAGAGATGCGTCTCGATTCATACAAGTTTTAGCGGGTCTGTTTCGTTTTGTTGTGTTCCGAGTTTTCGGTCGACATGCGACTTGGTTTTTCTTGACCGACCAATTCACGGTTCAAATTGCTCATACAAATTTTAGCAGAAACAGTCCAGTTCCAAGATTTCGGTTGTGGTACAAGTCGAAAAAAATTTGTCCAAACCATTTGATGTCCGAGTTGGTTGAGTTGAGAGGCGTTTGAGTTCCAAGGTTCTACTGTATATTTCACTGCAAATACAGATATTACACACAAGCAAGGTAGGAGCACATATAATATCAAGCAGTTTACACAGTAATATATGTCACTACATATTAAAGATCAGAGACCAAACCAGGCAAATGAGACCAATAATTAGAATGTTTGTGTTTGGAATAATAACTAATATAAAACAGAATCTAAGTTGTATAAATCATTTTCTTTCCACTAGTAGCTACATTCAGGTATTTAATGATAATTAAGATCTAAAGATATTTATCTTTTTTTTTTAATCAGAACTTAATTTCAAGAATTAACACTAAATCAAAGAAAGCTAATACATGCTTTGCTAACATCCATAGGCTGTGCATTTTCAATTAACCTTCATTTATATAGCAATGTTTTAACCATAGGGTTTACAAAGTGCTTTACAAACATTTTAAAACATGAAAAATAAAGAAAATTAGAATAAGAAAAAAATAATGATGATAAAATTCGAACAGAACCGCGGAACCATAACCTCTACAACACCGGGGACTTTGATTAAAGATTAAATGTTTATACTTTTTTACCCCATGATAAATGATAATTATAAATCTTTTATTTTCCATTTGCACATGTACAGGTACACAATGTCTATAACTAAAACACTACACGTTTCCTTGTGAGATTTCCTTTGCATATGCATCATTGCAGTAGTTTTAGTCTCTTATGTTTAATTCCTCCAGCACTGATTCCTTTGTGATTTTTCTCCAGCTGTCAGGAATCACACCTTTGCCTTTAAATTTTAGTTCACATCTATGCTCCCACTCCTTCTGAAACCTGCAAACAAACCATTTCCAGTAACCCTGTGTGCTCCCATCTGCGGTGATGCTCCACTTATCATAAGGGTCACCACCATCTCTGTAGGACTTATAGGGGATCCGTTTTTTATATGGAAGGATTATGAATGAACCATCACTGCTTACATTGGTTGTGCAGAAATCAATTGTAAATTCATCTGTTTTATGGTAAGGAACTTTACCTATAGCACTGGACCGGTGAAACTGAACCCTGTGGTCATCAGTATGGTTACTCATTGTGTTTGTGCAGATGGCATTGCAGAAAGGGCACTGAGCCCAACATCCTTCCAGCTGTTTAAAAAGAATCTCTGTTATTTTCTCCTTTAAGAGGCATAAATGCTGAGAAGATGTATCAACCTTTTCCATATTTTCACTTTTAACCACCTCTTCAAGATACTTGGCCATCATGTCTTTCAGAAACTTTGTGTTTCTAATGTCTTCATCCTGAATGCTTGTCAGACTCTGCCTGTTTATGACCATGTGGTCTCCAAGTTTTGTACAGAAATGATCGAGCCACATGGATGCATTGCCATTCTTCAGGTTCACTTCCTCAGATACCTCTGTGCAGATACGTAAAATGCGAAATTTAATTTCTTCTAGATTTCCATGAAACATGTCCTGCAGTTTTCTGTAGTCTTTGCAAAATGTTTCCACATGTTCACCAATAAAACTTTGAAAATACAACTTTGGGTTATCAATGTATTCTGTATATGACTTAAATTCCTCTTGAATTGCAAGATGTCTCAGTATATGATTTTCAAGGTTGCATCTGTTGCCACTGAGTGCTGGGTTGTTGCATTTCATAATATTTATGATGAGCAACTTAATTTGATTGTAAATTGCTTCTTCAACTGCAGGCAAAATGTTTTTGAATAAAAATTCAGCAAAAATTCTCACAGAATTAGCTCCTTTGCAGTACTGTTTGAACATTTCAGAGTACTGTTCCTTTTTACTTTGCAGGTAGGTTACTGGGTTGTTAGCTTTCTTGAATGACTCGTGCATGTATTGAAACCTCTGGACAGAACCGAGACAAACAAGAACTGACAAGTCAACTGTGTATTCATATGTGAATTTCACATTTTCTCTCTGCTCATAATCACGAATATGCCTTTCAACCTCATCTAGTATTTCAAATATGAAATTTTGATTGAAATCTGTCTTTTCCAATTCTTTTTTCCTAATGTATTCATCAACCATGTGATTCACATTTTGGTGGAGTTTTTCAGCAAACTCCGGGGGAATCCCCTTTCCCTGTATTTCTTTAGGCCATTCTGCTAAAGCTGCTAGTTTTGATCGGCTGATATGTTTTGTCTTTGTAAATTCAAATGTTCCATTTTCATTTACCTTTTTAATCTTGTTCCTGAGGTCTGCCTGTTTTTGAAAGCGAGAGAATAGAATCGCCTCCACTATAGACTTTATGTTGACTGGCTCATCAGGCAGCTGATCATTAGCTATTTCAGTTACCCACTCACCCCAGACTGAATTGAATGCTTCCTCCACTTGCTTGTCACTGAGCCTCTTGTCCTTCAGTGAAGTTGCCATGGTTTTGCGTTTTTGCATCAGGTTTTTCTCATAATGCGATTTTTTCTGATCTAGTACTGTCATACTTTTCTTAATTTCCATTAACATTTTACATTGTTTATGGGTTTCTTCAATGAGCTCATTCTTCAGGCTCTCAAGTCGGTTTTCAACATTCCCTTTCCATTTAATAAGGATTTCAGCATGTTTGTCTTCTTTGAAATGTTCCTCAATCTCAATTTTTAATGTAGCATAAACTTCATCAAAGTTAGAAATCAAATCTGTGGTATTGACATCCGAAATGTTGTTGCTTCCAATTTGGTTTTCCAACTTGGTCTGTGTTTCCAATGAACATTTTCTCAACTTCCATGACCATTGAGTATACTTCTCTTCCAAGCTGCTATACACCATAATTTCCAATGTATTTCTGAAGCTGAAAACAAAATTTTCCTGCAAAAGTGCATTCCAGAGGTCATGAACTCGCAGTCTGAATTGTGACAATGACGGGAATCGAAAACCTGTCTGCCACTTTGCCACTGAAAGCAGCTTAGATTTCAGGTCCTGAACATTCTGGCTGTAGGATGGATTTGGGGGAGCCATAGGTGGATCCCCCTCCAGGAGATTTTTAAAATAAAACACTTGAGATTGCAAATCAAACTGTATGACATCACTGAAGCTGTAGACATCGTCAATGCCCTCCTCCTTTGCTGCAGTCTGAGCCATTTCATCCAGCTTCTCCTGAAGGCGCCTCCTCCCCTCCATGTTTTTATCACCAGCTGATGCTTCTGCTACATTCTGGTGCACAAATATGCAGCTTGGTTTGATTTCAACCCATTTCATTCTTAAGAAAGCCTGCACACAAATCTGTAGGATCTCATGCATCTCCGATGGATTTTCTCCCATGATGTTGATGACAGTCATGTCACCAATTCCAATGATGAACGTGGCAAGTTCATTATCATGATTCAGTGATGTTTTAGTGCTGAGCTCTGGAGAGCGAAGACCTTCGGTGTCAACAACCAGTAAAAAATCAAAGCCAAACTCCTCTCCGATTTTCTCGTCCACCTTTATCATCTGCATAAAAGCACCGCGCGTACACCTCCTTGCACTTACAGTGAACTGAAGACCAAACATAGTTTTCAGCAAGGTTGATTTACCTGAGCTTTGGAGTCCCAAGATAGACAGCACATACACCTTTTTGTCATCAAGCTTTTCAATGAGACTCTTCAGGACAGCTTGTACCCAAATAAGAGGTACATGTGATTCATCTCCATCCATCAGCTCTAGGGGGTATCCTGAAATTAGCATTTCAGCTCCTATTGCAGGGAGAGCACCAACAGACTGTTTAACTGAACATTCATACATTTGACCGACCTCTCTCATGATGTGCTGTAATCCAATTGTACTTGCAGCCATCTTTTCAGATATGGAATTAAGTTGTTTTCTGAGTGTATCAGTTTCTTCTGCTTTCTCCTTAGTCTTGGGGACATTTCTCATTTGGGACCAAGTTGAGTGGTAATTCTCCTCAAGTCTTGCAAGGTGGTCAGAAGATAACTCATCGAGTAAAACTCTGAGCCACTGCAGCATGTAGAATTTTGTATCTTCTGCATGCTCACTTGATGTTAAACAGTCCAAGAATGTTCTCATAAAATCATTGTGTGACAAAGCTATTTCCCTCTGTTTTTTACGTGTGGCTTCCATGTCACTTAGAATCACACTTTGTTGTTGTTCAATGCTTTCCTTTGTCTTGCAACTCAGGCGATATTGCTGCTTATTTTTCAAGCAACAGTCATGCCACAGTTCACCATGCAGAGGCAGAAACTCCTTT